GTCCGGCCTAAGTAGTATTTTTTTAAGAAACTATACCTCACTCTGTGAGTAAAGTTAATCTCAAGCCAGATATTTACTGAAAATATAATTATTCATATAACTCAAGAAACAACTCTAACTGCCCTACAAACATATATCAACTCTGAACGTTTCTGTTGAAAGAATTTTGGTCTTTTTCAGTTCTCTATTTGATTCTGCCAGTCTAACTGTAGACCTCTCAGAATCATAGACAATTAAAATGGGAATTTATTGTATAACTAGTCATACCTACTCACATCGTAGATGAAAAAGCTGAGGCTACACAAGAGCACCTAACACAAGACCACATAACTTGTGGCAGGGATAAATTAGAATAAAGCCCTGAGCAGGCTGGGTGTGGTCGCTCGTGCCTATCTATAACCCTAGCACTCTGGGAGGCCGAGGCAGGAGGATAGCTTGAGCTTGGAAGATAGAGAGCAGCCTGAGCAGGAGCTAGACCCCATCTCTACTAAAATTAGAAAACTCAGCCAGGCGTCATGGTGTGGCCTGTAGTGTCAGCTACTAGGGAGGCTGAGGCAGGAGGATCGCTTGAGCCCAGGAGTTTGAGGTTGCTGTGAGCTAGGCTGATGCCATGGCACTCTACTCAGGGCAACAGAGTGAGACTCTGTCTCAATCAATCAATCAAATACAAAATTTAAGGAAAAAAAAAGCCCTCAGCATTTCCATAGTAGTGCTCTACCCACACACACACCCTGCCCCAACCTCCCTTAACATATTTGCCTGAGAGCTTTTATCTTTTCTTCACTGCATTTATCATCTCTTATTTAATGTCTTTCTTGCTAAAGTCTAAGCTCCACAGAAGCATAAACCCTGTCTTGTTCTTTCTCTTACATTCAATGGCTCCCAGGTACCTAACCCATTACTAGATACCCAATAATTATTTCTTTTTATTTTCTTTTTTTTTTCTTTTTTGAGACAGAGTCTTGCTCTGTTGCCCGGGCTAGAGTGCCATGGCATCAGCCTAGCTCACAGCAACCTCAAACTCCTGGGCACAAGC